ATTCTCATTTTATCTTAAGCTTATATATAATTGTAGAAAATTTTATTAATAAAATTCATTCATTTTGCGGCCTTTTTGTTACACATATAATAATTATATATTTTTATTTTAATGTAATTGTGAATGCACTGTAACGTGCATCCCTATCTACAATCGCCGTTTATCTTTTGTTTTGAAAAATTTGATTTTTACATAAATTTAGCACAATTTATTTACAATAATTGTTGGACCTTTGACTTCTGCCCCAATATTTTTGGGGTTATACATGATTTCAGTATATTTTCAACACATGAATAATAATAATAATAATAATAATAATAGTAATAATAATAATGTTTTACAGTCTATTAGTTGGTCACGATCTATCAAAATTATATATTATATTATTCATCATAATTTATGTGATAAATATAGTGATTCATATGTATGTTATGCAATTTATATTTATACTAAAATTGTTAAAGTTTTAAAATTTGATATACTTATAATTTTGAATGTTATATATTTACATATAATGCATATTATTTTATTTGCATATTTGCATATATAAGATCGACTATTAGTTGATTAAAATTTGTAAAAACTATTAAAACACTATAGGCTTGATGTAATATATAAAATCCCATTCTTCATCCATTATTTTACTTAAAACAATTAGGATGAGCATGCCATGGAAAAATATTTAATTTTCATAGTGAGTTTATGACAAAGTTAGAAAACAAAAGTAACATAAAAGAAAAATATTTAATTTTCATAGTGAGTTTATGACAAAGTTAGAAAAACAAAAGTAACATAAAACACGATCTCGCAAATCACAATTATGGAGAAGGGAAGGTTACTAAATTCTATGTTGTCTTATTACGAATCTTACAATTGAAATTGTCTACAATCATGGAACAAGTCACATGAATAAATTTTATAACAAGACAAAGTAGTATAAATAATTACTACTTAATCAAGAAGATTCTTGCATTATTTTATAACAAACATTTTTTTTTTTCGGAACAATACACTTTTATTGAAACAACACATAATTATATCTAGAAATTGGTCCAAAGTCGAATCTAGTGAGAGAACAACCTTAAGAGAGCTAAAACACCACAATGCACACATATTAATCCGAGATCCCAACTAGAGAATCTAAATCCCAAAAGGATAATCACAATCAAAACAAAAACAGATAAACACATAAAAAAAAACATCAACACCAATACAAACAACACAAAACACCAATACAAAACTAAAAACAACCCTTTCCACAGTCGGACTGCCACTACAAGCAAACCCTGATGACGCCACCCACGGCCAACCACCCAAACAGACTAGATCAAGGCTCCAAATTCAGCACCAGAAACTGCGACACGCGTCTGACTAGAGTTGAAACCCAAGACATTGACCCCGCAACCAAGCGGCCAAACCCAACTCCTCAGTGGGAGGCAAACCAACAACTCAACCTAGCACACCACCAACGGTCTGACACAACCCACACCACGAGTTCGGCCCGACACACCAGCCATCACCTCTTCCCTAACACCATGGGAAGAAGAAGACAAAGGGAAATCGCCCGTTGACCTCTGCCCCGACCTCCAACACCAGGAAGACGGAACCACAACCCTCCTCCACAACAATACCGAAGCCCTCCGCCGCTGCAACGCCACGGAATCCTGCAACCACCGACCTAAGATGGAAACCAGAAGAGGGGCGAGATCCACTCGCGGACAGCCACCACATACCACCGCACAAAAGAATGGGCCTCGCCATCAAATTGTGGTCGAATCGCAGAGAGAGGAGCCAGCCGCCGTCAAGGTGCCCCACGGGCCATCAAGGGAAAGCGAGCTGGAAAAGTTAGGTTAAGCGCAACAAGGGAAAAGATTGGGGGAGGATAATATGAGAGAGAAGAGTTGGATATGTCTATTATATCAAACTTCACTGAAGAAAAATTTGAAATAATGGTTGGAAATTATCAGGCTTATTGAAAAATCTTGAAAACTATCTGAAAATTGATTCAACCTAGTGATAAGGTCATTTCATTATAAATGTACACTCCCATGTTTCTTTCAATCAAATTGTATCCAACATGGTTCCTAATTGTCGTGAGCGTTGATGGTGGAGAGGTAAAGCCTTGCTGAAGCAATAGGCAGTGTTCGATCATGACTGCCGTAAAATATGAGAGAGAAGAGTTGGATATGTCTATTATATCAAACTTCACTGGAGAAAAAATTGAAATAGTGGTTGCAAATTATCAGGCTTATTGAAAAATCTTGAAAACTATCTAAAAATTGATTCAACCAAGTGTCATTTCATTATAAATGTACACTCCCATGTTTCTTTCAATCAAATTGTATCCAACATGGTTCCTAATTGTCGTGAGCGTTGATGATGGAGAGGTAAAGCCTTGCTGAAGCAATAGGCAGTGTTCGATCCTGACTGCCATAAGAGTTGGGATGGGGCTCTCCAATTCTCCTGGGTGGATTAGTCTCACCTCTATGGGTGTGGAGCCTGTAGCCTGTTTGAGCCATTGACCGGCTAGGCCCGTACTGCATGGTGGGGCTCGGTGAGTGGCTTGGGAGTGCGTCGTGAGACCCCGGATGAATGTGGGGATACCACCTAATCGAAAAAAAATCACAACAAAAATTCACCAAATAAAGTGTTTACTAGAAATTACAAAAAATATAGAATAATATAAAAAGGAATGATATTTTTTGGTTTGTGTTTAGTGTTATTAAATTAAACGAGTCTAGTTTGGCTCAGCTCGAGCTCGATTCGTTAAGACTCGAGTTCAGCTATGAAACGAGCAAAGTTCGAGCTCATTTAAAGCTCGTTTGGTGAACGAGCCGAGCTCGGCGCGATTCTATAAGGCTTATTAAGACTCGAAAAGAGATTTTTTATATAATTTTCTATAATTTGGCTCGTTAAAACTCGAGATCTGCTCAAACTCGTCGTTATAGGTGTTAAACGAGCCGAGCTCAAGCTTGATTTCTGACTCGTTTATTTAACGAGCCGAGTTCGGCTCGGTTCCTTAAGGGCTCGAGCTCATCTCGAAGAAGAAGAAGGAGAAGAAGAAGGAGAAGAAGAAGGAGCAGAAGAAGAAGGAGCAGAAGAAGAAGAAGAAGAAGAAGAAGAAGAAGAAGAAGAAGAAGAAGAAGAAGAAGAAGAAGAAGAAGAAACTCCCAAATAAATGACCAAACCTAACCTATTGGGGCGTAAGAAACTAAAAGTAAACAAAGCATTTTTTTTATCTTATCATTAAACACTACCAATTTTGCTATGAGTCATCGGATAGTTCCCAAATAAATGACCAAACCTAACCTATTGGGGCGTAAGAAACTAGAAGTAAACAAAGCATTTTTTTTTACCTTATCATTAAACACTACCAATTTTGCTATGGAGTTATCGGATAGTTCGACTTATAGAACTATCTAGACTTATTCACACAATAATGTAATCAAATGTATCTTACAGTAAATACACTTTAGATATGTGTAAATACAATAAGTGGTGGATGACTCCATAAGAAAATCATCTCATCCTCCATAGAATTAATGTAATGACTGTTTTGAAAAGGTAACATAGTGTCTTTATTAGTATTCATCATGTGCACATGCACAAAAAAAAGTAAAAATTTATATATTATATGTATGCATATAGTATATAAAATTTTATATTAGATAATATATGTATTACATTTTAAATTTTGACTTATATGCAAATGTGTAATGTAAATATAAATTATTTAACTTACATATAAATATTTATATTGATTGTATAAAAATTTTAATGAACAATATAATTTAGTAATTTAGAGGGACCATACATTTATTTGATTAGAAAAGTATTACAATTATTTTTGTTATTGTTATTGCAAATATTTTATTTTAGAAAAAGAATTTTAAAGAAAAAAAATTGCAATACAATTTTTTATAAGTATGTAACTTACACATATTATTTAATGGAGAAATGCTACGGTCCCATTACCATCTTGTCGGGTGTTTTAACCTTTGGATCCACATTTAGTTAGATAAGATAGACGATCTAACGGTTAAAACACCCGACGTGATGGTACCGTAACGGGACCGTAGCATTTTCCCTATTTAATGTAAAATTATAATCTTTAGTAGTATTATTATTATAATAAATTAGTTTAAAATTGTTATTACACTTTATTGATGTAAAATGTAACGTTTATGCATTAATTAAAAAAATGAGCAGAATAAATTATAAAGGTTTTATTAAATAGGTTTTATTTAATGTATCTGCCAGCAATTATATATAGATAGTGGACGGCAATAAACCCATATACCATTTTTACGGCCCAAATAGCATGACCCATTTTAAGTCCATTAAGCATTGTGCTTTGACCAACAGTTTGAATAGTTCTCGAGGCCTTTTTAATTTTTATGTGTCCACTGAAGAACATTTGAAAAACGCGTCAGCTGTCCAGCAAAAGCGTGTTAAGAAAGTATAATTCGCATTTTTCAATGTCCGAGCCATTCATACGACCTCCTTCGTCTCTGCAACTTCAAACCCCAAAACCCTTCTCACTTCCTCACTAGTCACTCCCGCGGCCCGCCTAGTGTTCACTCTCCTGCTCCTGAAAATTCATCGGAGGCGAATCTCAGCTTTAATCGAACGGGTCAGTTTCGCTAGCTCAAGATTTGTTGTGGTCTTGGTTTTTGTGTGTTAGCATGTAACTCTATACTGTGAATGAATTTTGGGGGTATTACGAAGATTAGATGAACGAAATCTTCTGATTTGGAGTTTAATTCCTGCTTCTGGCTGAAAAAACTGCTCAATATTGATGTAAAACCCATTGTCAAAAGTTTATTTTTCAATTCATATAGTGTCTTGTTGTTTCCGTTTGTTCAATTTAGTCTGTCAATGTGTTTGTATGCCTCTTGTGGGTTTTCGTGCTGATTTGGGTAGTTTGTGTTCACAATTAGCAGCCTGAAACCTACTTGGAGAAAGTGCAGGCTCCTTAATGAATTTCTTCTGACCTAACTATGGAAGTTGAAGTTGGGATTCAAAAGCAGATCCCCAGTCTCCTGTCGCAGTTCAAAAGAAGAAGAATATCTATGGACGGTGTCGATGCATTCTTGTCTTGCCAGGTTTTGCATGAAGTTGAGAAATATTTACCAAATCTGAGATGTTCTGATTACTATACTGAGCCATGCTTGAGTGAGTTGGCTGTTAGGGAATTGATGAATCCTGGTTACTGCAGCAAGGTCCAAGACTTTGTTGTTGGGAGGGTTGGTTATGGATGTGTGATGTTTATTGGGGAGACGGATGTTAGATGCTTGGATTTGGACAGCATTGTTAAGTTCAATAGATGTGAAGTGGTCGTATATGAGGATGAACATTCCAAACCCTTGGTTGGTCAGGGTCTTAACAAACCAGCTGAAGTAACATTACTACTTAAAGCAAAATCTCCAAATAATATGACTGACGATCAGTTAAAAGAAGTTGTGGATAAATTGAAGTGCAAGACTGAGAGGCAGGGGGCAAAATTTATTTCCTTCGATCCAGTTCATGGTGAATGGAAATTTTTAGTACAACATTTTAGCAGATTTGGTCTGGGTGAGGAAGACGAAGAGGATATTTTAATGGATGATGCAACTCCAGAGGCTCAAGATGCTATGGAAATGAATGATAGTGATGTGTCAGATATTGATGGTCAAATCGTGCCCATAAACACTCCACTTTCACATTCACTCCCTGCTCATCTTGGTCTCAATCCAGCCAGGATGAAAGATTTGAGGATGTTGCTGTTTTCCGGGGAAGTAGATGAGGTAGAAGGTGTCAGTAGCATGGTTTCACCTGACAAGGATAATTTTTCAAAAGAAACATCAAGATCACCATTGAATCACTCATCTAGGAAAGCTGTTAATAAGACAAGTGCACTTCTTACTCGCAGGACTCCACTAGCTTTAAAAGAGTATAATCCAGGGAGTTTCAGCTCTAGCTCGCCAGGAGCTATTTTGATGGCTCAGCAGAATAGAGGTCTCCAGCTGAAAGCAGCGAAATCTGAAGGTTTTGAGCTGGAGCTCAAGAGCGACACACCAGTAACTGGCAGTCATTCTCGGAACATAGTTGATGCCGCATTGTTTATGGGTAGATCTTTTCGAGTAGGCTGGGGCCCTAATGGAGTTCTTGTGCATTCTGGTATGCCCGTTGGAAGCAATCAGCCTAGAACTGTATTGTCCTCTGTGATTCATCTTGAAAAGGTCGCAATAGACAACGTGACAAGAGATGAGAGCAATAAAGTAAAGGAGGAACTTACCGATTTCTGTTTCAGTTCACCCCTCAGTCTTCATAAGGAATTAAGCCAGGAAACAAAAAGAATTGAACTTGGAACCTTTGAGCTGAAACTTCGAAGGCTTGTTTGCGACCGCTTGACGCTTCCGGATATTTGTCGGAGATATATAGACATCATCGAGAGGCAACTCGAGGTGCCCAGTCTGTCTTCTGGTTGTCGTGTTTTTTTTATGCACCAAGTACTTATTTGGGAACTAATTAAAGTTCTCTTTTCGTCAAGGAAAATATCTGACAAGTTGAAGCTGTTGGATGATGAGGAGGAGGACATGATGGCAAGTTATCCCAATGTTGATGAGGAAGCCCTTCCACTTGTCAGGAGAGCGGAATTTAGTTATTGGCTGCAAGAGAGTGTTCACCACCGTGTACAAGAGGAAGTTAGTTCCATTGATGAGTTGAGTGATTTGGAACATATATTTTTGCTTCTTACTGGCCGGCAGCTTGATGCTGCTGTTGAACTTGCTGCTTCCAGAGGGGACGTGAGACTATCTTGTCTTTTGAGCCAGTCTGGAGGGTCGACAGCAAATCGTGTTGATATTGCCCATCAGCTTGACCTCTGGAGGAAAAATGGGCTTGATTTTAGTTTTATTGAGGAGGATAGGGTGAGGCTATTTGAATTACTTGCTGGAAACATACATGAAGCCTTGCATAGTGTAAAAATCGACTGGAAGAGGTTCCTAGGACTGTTGATGTGGTATCATCTTCCGCCTGATGTTTCGTTACCTGTTATTTTTAATACCTATCAGAAGCTCCTTAATGAAGGAAATGCTCCATATCCTGATCCAGTTTACATCGACGAAGGACCAATAGAGGGTATGAGCAATTCGGTTGTTAATGATCGGTTTGACCTGGCATATTATCTTATGCTTCTCCACGCAAGAGAAGAAAATGATTTTGGTGCTTTGAAGACCATGTTCAGTGCCTTCGCCTCTACAAATGACCCGCTTGACTATCACATGATTTGGCATCAGCGTTCTGTTTTAGAGGCCATTGGCACTTTCAGTTCCAATGATCTTCATGTTCTGGACATGGCATATGTTTCTCAGTTGCTGTGCCTCGGGCAGTGTCATTGGGCCATCTATGTCGTTCTTCATATGCCTCATCGTGAAGATTATCCCTACTTGCAAACTACAGTTATAAGGGAAATCCTATTGCAATACTGTGAAGTTTGGAGTACTCAGGATTCACAGTGGGAGATTATTGAGAATCTTGGTATTCCATCAGCATGGTTGCATGAAGCCCTGGTGAGTTTGTTTTCCATATACCTATAACTTGCATGCGTGCTAATAAGGTTGTCTCATTATCATCCCTTTACATTAATCTTTTCATTATTCTTTTCTCATCTTTTACCTGTTTAAGATTTAGGAGTGTGGACTTTCCTGAACTTTATTTTGCTTGTTGAAAGTAACTTGTGATGCGTTATGGGTGTTTATCATTTTTACTTACTACTGGTAATTTCTCTGGAATTCCTGCTCATTGATTTCTTGTCGTGCCCGTGCTTCCCTTCTTTCCCAAGTGCAGGCAATATATTACAATTATATTGGTGACTTCCCCAAAGCTTTAGAACACTTCCTTGAATGTTCAAACTGGCAAAGGGCGCACACGATCTTCTTGACTTCAGTTGCCCATTCTCTGTTTTTATCAGGTAGAGTACTAATGTACTATTTTGTTTATTGAGTTCTAGTTTCATCAAATTGGTTCTTTAAAGCAAAGTCGGAGCGAATCTACATATTAAATATTCGAAAAGCCTTTTTTTTTTTTTTTTGTAGAAACATCATTTTATTTGTTACAATTTTAATTTGCAGATGACATGACTGATTGGTGATCTTTCCCATCTTATGTATATTTGCTCTATTTCAAACTTTAGGAGTGGATCTGGAAATCTCTCAAGAAATCAGATATGGGCTAGAATCATGTATTCGGCCATGAAAAATTACATGAGCGAATAAGAATTGAATTATATACATTTTTTAATTTCGAGTTGAGTGTTTTGTGGATGAAATGGCCATTTTCTCGTTCGTGTAAATGCGGCTATATGAAATGAATTTATGTCTTATTTGGTGTAGCTCCATATGGGGTCTTTTTATCAAGTAGCATTACAATTTTGATTCTCATGTTGCAGCAAAGCATTCAGAGATTTGGAAGCTTGCAACATCCATGGAAGATTACCAGTCTGAAATCGAAGACTGGGACCTTGGGGCTGGCATTTATATTTCGTTTTACTTGTTAAGAAATTCCTTTCAGGAAGACGGCAACACCATGACTGAACTGGTAAATTTTCCAGTTTATAGCTAGAGAAATGTATGCGTCTCAGTGTTAAAGTTCTGTTGCATTTTGTTTCTTTTATATGATAATTAGGCTTCAACTGAATGCTCTTCGTTTTGAACATCCATTTCGTACCATATTTGTCATTTGAGAATACGTCAAATTACTTCAAGTTCAGGAGCTAACAGACTGTTCCTTTAATTGTCTTCACATTGGCATCCTAGTACCAATTGTCAAACTTCTTGCTTTTATTCATCAAATTAAATTAACAAGTAAATTTAGTAAAAGGGTCGAATGGATGCTATCAGTTTAGTAGTAGTGGTTAGTTGTTGATTTGGTCTCCTATTTCTAGACTTAGTACTCTTTATGGATTATGGTTAACAAATAGGTCTATAGATTGTTCTTGAAATTCTGAATTTGCAATGACTATGATCTTTTCTCTGTTAGAGAAACCGGCTCCACGTAATTTGAAATGTGACTGAGAAACATATCAGTGAACCATATATTTTTTATGTGCATTAGAAAAATTATGCGACTGCGAACATGTTAGTGACCCATATATATATTTTTCTTTTTGTTCATAAGACAGATTTTGTTTTACTTCTTGTAATGGATAATTCTGTTTTTTTGCAGGAAACTCTTGAGAACAAAAATACTGCATGTGCCGACTTTATTGGTCACCTAAACAAGTCTCTGGCAGTTTGGGGCAGCAAATTACCACTTGATGCAAGGTATTTACATATCAAGTATGAGAGAGGCTGCAGATGCACATCTCGACTCATATGTGCCCACTGTCGACATTTTGCGACTCTGTTCAATTCCTGATTCTTTTCAAGTCCTTTCCATCTATTCTAATATATCTATCCACTGTTTTTCCAGAGTTGTGTACTCGAAGATGGCCGAGGAAATCTCGAGTCTGCTTCTTTCTGACAGTGGTGAGGGCTCGAATGGTGATGTTCAGCTGAGGTGTTTTGACACCGTTTTCAACTCGCCCATGCCTGAAGATGTTCGCTCGTACCATTTACAGGATGCCGTTTCGCTTTTTGCGTCTTGTCTTTCTTAGATGGCCCAATAGTGTGTGTGTCCTTCTTTCTCACTATATTTTCTTTCATGATTAATAAGTTCTGTAATTATTGCGGTGGGGCTCGCAATTGTGTTGTTTCGAAGGATTTTCCTTGATCTGTAGGTTTCTTGTGTTCTTTTCGGTTCTTTTGATGGGTTTTGAGATGGAGGGTAAGTTTGAGTCCCCTGTTTGTACACTAGTTTTTCATCTGTCTTTTTTACATTATAATTTTTTTTATTTTTTTTTCAACTCTACATATAATTATTCGAAACTCTGATGTGAAATTTTCAAGTCTTGTTTGATGTTTGTGTGTATCGTTTTTTGATCATAGTTGAAGGAATTTGGTGAGCTTTTGTGAAAGTAGTAAAGTTTGAATTCCACGTCTTAAAGTGGATTCCAACTAAACATGTCCAACTTTGATGTTGGGTGCAATCATAGTCAGGAATATTGTGTTTGGTTAAATGAGAATATTTATTTTATAAAATAATTAATATAAATCTAATTCATCAATGTACCATGCAACAATCATTTTAATGTAGTTATTTCACTCAATTTGTAAAAGATGATAATTTTAATTATACTTATAAAATTATATATTTCTAGATAAATATTATTTAAAACTCCATAAATTTGATTTGATTTTTTTTTTTTTTGTTTCAAATCAATTTTTATTGTATTGTGATTATAATTTTTATTTATAGATTCATTGTCTCTCTATTCTTAATTTTTAAGTACTTATATTCATATATTTGATAATGTAGAATATAGATAGATATTATTTTTATTATTTTTAAATATGATATTTTCTTTATATATATTATTTTGAACCTATAATAATATTCAATTCTTTATGTACATTAGTAATACTGAAATAACTACATTAAGAAGATTGTTGCATGGTATATTGATGAATTAGATTTATATTATTTTATAAAATAATTTATAATGTTACTTGATAATTTTCAATTTAGTTTGATACATAAATTTAGTGTTATTTATGAAGATAGATTAAATTATCTTTTATTTTATATATACAATACAAAGGTCGTTAAAAATTTATTAATTTTACATATAGTATATAAAGAATAAAATAAAAATTTAAAATTTCTAAACTTTTTAAAATAAGAAATATACATATTTATAGTAATCAATATATGAACTAAATAAGAAAAGAAAAGTAGTTAAATGCAAATGTAATAAAATAGTTTGTGATAATTTTCAAAGAAAAGTAAAATAAATTATAGGTACTTTTGTTCCCTTAAAAATTAATGTTTATTCGAACTTAATTACAAAGCATGAAATATTGCCATGTAAAATCCCAATGCTGCTGAGTTTTTTTTTTTTTTTTTTTTCTTATATATTCAGCCGAAAGTAGGTTAGATTGGATATCACGTGCAATTATAATGAATAATAAATAACCAAACATAGTGATTAAAGAAAAATGCCACTTCCATTGGCACCAATTTAATTTGCATGTACACATTCTTGCTTGGGCATGTTATTTCTGAGTCTTATCAAACTGTTGGCACTATAGTATTGTATTACATNNNAAAAAAAAAAAAAAAAAAAAAAAGAATCAAATGAAGAAATATTGCCATAGCAAACGAACAATTGGGAAAATGAACGAATTACAAAGGCAAAGGGCTTCGGCTTTGAGTGCCGATGCTTGCCTCCGATGGTGGAGAAGATGATGACGAAGACAAAGTTGAACTAGTCGAAGGCGAATTGGATAACCTGTTAGGCGAGCAGCCTGTTAGCCTTTTCTTCTCAGCTTCTTTCTCCTCAATCTTGTGGTGCCCAACCTTGGTTGAGTTCAAGCTGACCGGTATTATGCAGTGGCACAGTGAACCTAAAAATGGAAAAACGAATTATCCTTCAAAAGTTCACACAACACAAATTGAAAAAAAAATAAATAAATAAATAAATAAATCATGTATGAAACCAAATCTTGGTGAATACATTTGTTGCAGGACCACAATTCATCAAGCTTCTTAGTGAATGCATTTCGACATTTTTGCTACATTTATAATACTTCTATTTTGATGTCCAAGATATGACTTTTAAAAATTAAAGAACGTACGAACCGTCTCACCGCGACTTTCGTACGTAATTAATAACTATGTCATGCATGCAAAATTTCTTCTAAGCAGAGACATCGTAACTATTGCATCGAAAATCAAACTTATCACCATCTTTCCGAGCTTATTTAATGCCTATCAAGACTATAAATCCCATCACATCCACTCGAATTTATATTAAGTAAAGCTGTTAAGACACCGACATCAACTCATAGATCCAAAACAATATTAGTAGTAAAATAAAGTGATAGAAACAAAATCTGCAAGAGCTAACTAACAACGCTTACCGATTCTGGCAAGACGATTAACCCAATTAGGGATTGGATTCCCGGTTAGCTTCATGCAGGCATCGTTGCAAAAATGGTTGCAGTTTTTGGTGATTAGATTGTAAGCATTTCCCCTGTATTTCTCCCCAAGCTCCTCCATAACTCCCCTCACCTCCTCAGGACTCATATCAGTCCACCCTATCAAAATTGATTTTCTAAAGGTGAACCCATCACAAATTTTCGGCTCCCCTTCAAAAATCCCGCTCGTGGGATACTCGTGAGCTCCGAACGCATACTCCACGCCGTGAACTATCAAAGATTTCATTTTTTTCCCCACCATTTTTTCAATTAATTTATCAAGATCAGTATTATAATGTATAATCTAACTGTACAAACAAACAATGTTATAAGCTCTTACAAAAACTTCTCCATGTTCCCATAAATCAGTCGATTTCCTACTTTAATCAGTAAAATTTTTAGAAGCTTATTGCAAACACTCAAATCAAATTCATCTAGACAAAATCCAAAGGAAACCCAGTAAGTATTATTCGAAATTAACTATAATTCAGCAAAAATGGAAGCATGAAAATAGACCAAAATTCACAATAAATCATTCAGTACCAATTGTAACAAAAATTCACAATAATCATTCATACTCAGATCTGATTTTCACATATACTACGTAGAATTGATTAAAAAATAATAAATTAAGAATGGATTAAGAGAAGTGACCTTGAACACCTGAATGGTAGGCCCCGAGTCCCAGCCAGTAAGCATAGCCATTGACGGAGTAAAGATCGTATACATTCAGGTGCACATCGACCGATCCACGCTTGTTTTTAACTGTACTTTTCCCGCATAACATTGCAGAATCGAATGAAAGAGACGATGTTGACGGCAGTTGACGACGACAGCCCTTCACTGTGCAGCTAAATTCATTAAGCTAACGAAAATAATAATAATAATAAATAGACACAATCTGAAAATGAACGAAAAAATCTGAACTGAAAATCTGGAAATTCAAATTTGAAGGGATATTTTTTTTGGTAGCCAGCCACAGTACTGTGCTATGCTCCGACTAATCCGTTGGTCGACCCGAATCACACGCCTGAAAATTAAGTGAGTCTCCCAACAAAGATTTTATGCATTCAATTTGAAAGGATATTTTGAGTTGCCGCAGAGAGTGTGTGTGTGTGTGTGAGCTTTTGGCGGAAGAAGGAAAAGAAACATAAATGCATTATTTTTATTTTTTATTTTTTTTATTAGGGAAAAATGGGCCACAGATAAAGTTTGATGGGATTACTTTAAAAGAAGCAGATTATTGCTGGAATGTGAGCTGGCGTGATTTGAGTAATTTATTTTTAAAAAAAAAGGGAAAATAATAAAATCAAATTTATGGGAGAAAGTAACGTAATAATCTCATTATGAGGCCAAGTGGGGTTTGTATATTTTATACTAATAATCAAATTGATATTGGATTTTGTCCATATTTATATATACCAAATAAAATTTTATATGTTGTATATCTGTATATGTGTGTGTAAAATATATAATATATAAACTAAATAACGAGCATATTACGTTTTATAACTTTAAAGTTAGTAAAAATGCGCGATATAAATATAAACTATTAACTTACATATTAATTTTTATATTTCTTGCAATAATATATTTTTTGCAATCTTGGTTGATTAAATAAAATAATATTAAATTTATTATTATGGAAATTATGTAAATAATATTAAAAGGTTTTTTTGTATGATAAAAACAGTAACTTTAATAAAAAAAATTGCTTAATTAGTTATAAAAAAAGTAATAATTTTAACTAAATTTTTTGAAAAACAAAAGTTTTTGATTGAAATTATTTAATGTGGCTATATGATTTGTTTGTAGTAATTGTTATAATAAAATAAATAAAAATATAAAGACTTAATTAATTCTAAAGTAACCGAAAATAGAGGAACAATTTAAAGAGTTTTATTAAATTTTTTGCTATCAATTATATAATAATAATAATAATTATAATAATAATAATAATAACTTATAAGATTGATGAAATTCTCTTTATGGATATTATATAATGGGGGCAATCGGATGTATGTTTCTTCAATCAAATTTTTAATAATATTTCTAAAACTTATGTTAGTTGTATTATTAAGATTTAATTTAAGTTTTAGAACTTAATATACAATCACTCACATATTTAACTATTAATTATTATTTTTTTTTTCACATTACATTGTCACAATTAATTATTATGTTTTATATTACATTTTATTTGCAATAATAACAATATTAAGGCTTACAATATATTTTTTTATCAATGAAAAATTGCAGAATGTATACTCATCATTTTGTCATGGGAAAATGACCTGTGTTGGGTAATAGGGATTTGAATTTGGAAGTATGTTATGTTCCAGGGTAATATTGTTGGAACAAATTAAAACAAATTCACTTGTTATATTTCTCGCAACATTTTAAATAAAATATAATAATTTAAATTTCAACTTTCTCTCTCGCCCAATTTCTCGCCCAAAAAACCCTACTCGCCGGTCGCCCCTCTTCAACGCCTCTTAGCCTTCATCGTCGACGGCGATGCCCTGGGCAGTGGTCACCTTCGACCGCTCGACGTGTTCCTGATGCCTCGTGGCTCGTGCTTCTATGATTTCCGAGTAGCCTCCTCCTCGATTGCCGGATTTTCAGCGATTGGCGGCGGCTTCCCCCTCTACGGTCACCGGTGGCTCGTCGTCGGGTAAAGGTGAAGGTAAGCTCCTCGATCTCTGTTTGGTCCGGGATTGTTGTTCCCCTTGGATTGCTCTTCTTCTCCGGTAGAGCGTCGGTGGGGTTGGGTGGCTGCGAGGTTTCTACGGTGGCTCGGTGGCGAGTGGGTTGGTGGACGGGTCGGGACACCAACGGCTGCGATGTCCTTCGTCAAGGCTGTCGGTGTTGAAGAATGGGACGGCTCTACCTACCTCCGGTTCTCTGGTTAGGGACTGGGTGGGTCCGGCGCTTCCAAGCTCGGCTAGTGGTGTTAGACGAGGTTGGGTAGTGCTGGAGTTTGGAGTTGGTCTTGTTCTCTCGGTTATAGGTGGGTTGATTCGAGATGTTTCGGGGCACGAGTGCGGCTTCTGTATAGGCGTTTTCGCAGTTTCGGGAGTTGTTTCTTAGGCTTTGGATCGTCTTGGGTCAGCGGTTTCTCCTCTGTTTTAGGCTCGTTTGTTGGTTGGGGAAGGGCCTTGTTGTTTTTGATTTTGTTGTTATTGCTTGAGTCTGTTCTAGGTTAGTGTTTTTGGTCTGGACTCCTTGCCTGAGTGTTTTATGTCTTGTTTTTTT